ACCTAAATGCATCGGAATGGCGGGTAACTGAAAAAATGGCTCGAAATTGTTCATCCGGACACGATGGTAATTCTTAAAACTTCGATATTCGGTCTTCGTCGTTAGACGAAAGGATAAATCGAGCTATCCAGATCCATTGTCACAAGTCATTTCAGGCCAACCAAGCCTGCCATAACCACAACGGTACCAAGTGCCAAGTAAGTGCATCTTAGTCTCGTGACGTCTTCTCGTTTCAACTATTCTTCCATTATGCAAATTGCGAAGAATTTAGTTTATTAGGACTTCTCTCTGTGTGTGCTTTCACTGTGTCGCGAACTGCCTTCACTGACCCTGTGCAACTCACTGACTATTGCCGTATACTTTTGGCGCATGGAAGTCATTGACAGACAACTCTGTTGCTGCTGCTGCCCGGATGACCTTTCTTTGTAGTTAAGCTCAGTGAGGCCACAACATTCTGTCAAATATAACAGGATCTGACATCTCCATCTTATTTGTTTCGTTCGAATGAGGAATATTTTCAGCATATTAAGTGTATTTGACCTCATTAACCCCTCGATTTTGAGTGTGATCTTCAAATTTGATGATGTTAATCTCTACCGTTAGGCCTGGGGAGCAAAACGAGGATATGGCTATCGGTTCTCCTAGTCTGACAGTCGAGTTGACATGCAGGCACTGAGCCTGGTAGCCACGCAATCAGAATACACTGTTACTGTCCTGGGCAAGGGGCAAGCACCCGCATCGATCTTTCTGCCAAACTACAGTCGTTAAACCACGAGTAAAGTTGACAGCGCTAGTATGTGCACTTAAGCGCATGCTTATCTTCTTGACTCATACGACTCCAATGTGTTGCGTACAGAATAAAGCTATCTTGCTGATGCCTTCTGTTGGGTGTACGTCCACTTCAGAAGTCGCTAAGGAAGTCCTAAGCTATAGATGAAGCAACCGGGACTTCTGGCACATAAGTGTCTGCAACCCTCAACCATGTAGAGCTCAGGCCGAACAAGGCGTGAACAGATGAACCTCGCTCTTATTTTTACTCTTAAAGTGTACAATCACTACATACGCTAGCAGCTTTAACCTGTTCCTGCCAATGTATACGCCTTTTTACAGCAAACTTACCTGATCACTCTCGTTTTTTTACTATAGCTATCTACGGTTGCATCGAATGTCGACCGGTGAGCCAATTAAACGACCACATTCGGGTTCTGATAATGAGAGTAGCGTCACCACAGAGGCAAATGGCAGTGTTGTGTCTGGTGATGATGATGACGACCAGGACAGTGATGCTAGTGGACCAGGGCGGTGCCTTCGACGATCCTCCAGATATTCCAATTCAAGTACGCGGGAACCTCCAACAAAAAAGATGCGCTCCTCCAACGCCGCTCCGAGCCCATCCCCAGCAGAGCCAACATGTGCCGATATTGTTGCTGCGGTGTGTCGCAACAGAAATTCATGGCCTTTCCGTGAGCCAGTTGATCCCACACAGGTATTGTATACGACCTACTACATAAAGCGGGAGTAGATGAGCTGGGCCCGTTCTCAAGCTCTTCCTTTCTTGTTTTAGGTCCCCGACTATTACGACATAATCGTTGAACCTATCGACTTATCGATGATCCAAAAACGACTCTCAGAGGGTTGTTACGATGGTCCAAAGGGTCATGCAGTACTTGCTGCGGATCTGGGCAAAATGTTTTATAATGCCGAATTGTACAATTCCGCAGACTCTGAGGTCTGGGTAGCTGGCTCACACTTAGAGCACTTTGTGCAATCTCTGTTCAGGAAGTGTTCCCCTCGTGAGTAAAAAAATTCTGATACTAATCTTTACCTTAGGACGGTTTCCCCTGTGGTTATTGCTTGTTAAAGCATGTTAGTAATCTATCATATCCCAGAAGTTATTTATCAAGTCCCTATTCCTCAAAATAGATTAAATGAAAAGGTTAATCAGGCTGTATATACTCTGTCTTACTGGTAGGACGACAAACCCATGGATTAAGGATTTAGAGCGTTGAACTTCTAGACAGCAGATTGTAGGTTCGGTCCTCAGGGATTTCAACATCTGGGATTAGGTATGGCTGACGGTTGACAAGTAAGAAATGTCCATTCCATTCCAGTCACCCTTATCCTTGCCGGTAATATTCTTCTAATCATAATACTAGCGACTGTGCGGCTGTCGGCAGTGCTCGATTGCGTGTTCGATCCTCAGGGTTTGAACCACATTAAATTGGTATGGCTGATTGGTGACTTCTAGTGTATTGGAAATGGACATTCCAGTCTCCCTAGTCTGTACTTACTTGTACTTTTTGTGGCTGCGATCTTGACTGATCCACGCGCGACCATCCGTAGCAGCAGACCTGGACAGTTCGAACTGTTCTCTTCGCCAACTCCGGAGACCGAAAACCGAAGGTCCAAGAACCACTTGCATCTCCTGACGGACTGAGTCGAGCCAGGTTTTGAGTTGATCCCCACTTCGATGTTTCCAATTATGTAACGGTTTCTGGTCGAAGGCAGTAACACTGAACTCGTGAGGTTGACGACGAAGACCGTGTTGGAACCACCTCAGTCATCTTCCTTAGATTGCCCGGGATATCCTTGCGATGTTGTCGCCACGAGTACGGACTGCCATTTGAGAAAAAGTCGGTGCACTTCACTCGAAGGATGGTCCTCAAGCAGTATTGATCCAAGACTCCCACTTTCCGTTCATTTTCCACGCATATAACCCAGGATTCGCATCCGTATAGAAGAACAGACCGTACAGATGCACGGTGCACGCGGACTTTTGTGGAAATAGAAATATCGCGTCAGTTCCAAAGGCGCTTTCGAAGGCTGGAGGAATCTCGTCGAGCTGCCTCAATTCGGAAGACAATGTCATCCTTACTCTGTTCATTCCGCAGCAACCTTGCTCAGA